ACAGATCGGAGCCACTCGCTTGCCCCAGGCACCCCCACAGCAGTTCCCTTACCCCCCAAACTACGGTACGACCCCGGGAAACCCTCCCACCTCCACCAGCCCCTTCTCGCCGTTGGCATCCAACCCCGAGGCCGCCGCGCTGGCTAACCGCAGCAGCATGGTGAACAGGGGGATGATGGGTGGCGTCGGAGGGCAGTTCGGCGCTGGGATGACCCCGCAAATGCAGCAGAACATCTTCCAGTATTCAGGATCAGGTACGTTGAGCAGTTGGTTGCACTGGAAAGCTGTCTGGCTTCATCCAGCCATCTCACCCGGCCTGCGTGCTGCTCTGCTCTCTGGTTTCCACCTCCCAGGGGGACCTATTCTGGTCAAATCTCAATAAAAAAAGAAGCTATTGTTTGGGAAAATAATTCCACAACTTCTTCCTTGCTAATGGAACTGCAAGGCAGTCCTCTACGTTTCCCTTCCTTAAATATCTGTGCTCTAAAAAAAGCCAAAGCCTTGCTGGGATGGCTGAAATTAGCTGCAGGCATCTTATGCCTCTTGTGTGGGCACCAAGCTCCTGAGAGCCTGAGAGATGAGCCAGTGCAGATGGGCACTGTCTTGAATATCTTCACATTCAAGCATCACTAGTGAGTAGACAAAACTACTCAGTGGCTGCGATAGCCCCACAGGAACCCCCTTTGGCATCATCTCATCGTTACCCTGGCTAGTTTCCAGCCAGGTGTGATGCTAAAGCGGAACACCTGCTGATGGAAACCACTTGAGGGGGGGTTTCCCTGCTCCTTGATCCCTGAAATATTTGCATTTGAGCGATACAGCTGCTCAAAATGAAAACCAGAGACTCTGAGACCGAAAGTCACGGCTGATGCTTCTGGTCTGATGCCAGCAGTTGCAAGGGAGGAGGAGGGAATCGGGGCTGATGGCAGGGGTCTGGCCACCTCTGACACTGTCTGTCCTTCCCCAGGCATGGGCCAGCAGAGCGAACCCACCTTTGCTCCATCACTCAGCCCCAGCAGCCCCCTGATGTCACCCCAGCTCCCACCTTCGCAAAGCCCTATGCTGCAGCCGGCTCCACCGACACCGGGCTACCAGTCACCTGACATGAAAACGTGGCAACAAGGAGCCATGGGGAATAGCAAGTAAGATCATGGTGGGGATAGCCTGGAGCACACAGGTGACACACACACAGAGCAGGTGGCACATTGACACTGAGGTGATGATGCCCTTGTAAGGGACAGTGGTGCCTGTAGGGGACACCTGGCTGAAGACACTTGCTGAGCTCAGGCCATGTTCTCCTACCACGATGTGCTCCAGAAGTCACCATAAACCCGGGCCCGTGTCTTTGCCTCAGCTTGGAGGCAGCCAAAAGCCCACAGTGTTTAAATGAATGAGCATTTGTGTTGAGGAAGACATGAAGCATGTCTTTCATTTTTAATTAAACAAGTGGCTTAATTATGTCTCATGAAAGTGGCCTTAGAAAACACAATAAAGCAAGTCAAGACCAGCAGTCCCAGGTCACTGCATGTCCCTCCTAAGATGTGTCCAGCTTTAGCTTATGGAAGAGTCACCAGACTTGTTGCCTTTTTGGCATGAGTCACATTTGAGCATCAGATCTCCAGAAATGGGGCAGAGGGAGAAACACAAAACCTCACGTGGTTTGCCTTGCTTTTGCCTTGGGTATGTCCAGTTAACCCAGCTAGCCTGTCCTGGTCCAGCAGCACAGAGCAGGAGGTTTACTAGGCTGGGTGGAATGAGATGGGAGCTCTGTTGGAGCTGGGATGTTTCATGCCTTGCGATGGAGAGCTGTTTCTCTGCCTGGAGCAGCTTTGGGATCAATTGGGTGTTGAGGAGGGCACGGGAAGGAGTGTCAAGGGGTGAATTCAGTGTCACATCAAGTGGGGCTTTGCATCTGCCTGACCCTTAATGCAGCACAAAGCCCTGTAACGATCCCTCTCTTGGCACTGGTGTTCCACCAGCCCCTATCAAACTGAGCAGCCTCCTGCTCCAGCAGGAGCAGAGGGTAGACGACTCTGCAGTAGCCACCTCCCTTCCTCCAGCCTCCATGCTGGCTCAGCCTTGCTGCAGGCAGCACCTCTAATGTCCCCGACACTCCCACTGTCCCCCGAGGACCAGCAGGGCTCCTGCCACAGTCAGTCTTGGCATTCACAAAACACAGGCTTGCTACTGTGGCAGCTCAGGCCACCCCAGGGTCTCAGCCCACACCTCGAGGTGCTTCTCCCCACCACATACACCCAGGTGATGCTTTTTTCTCCCTCCCTCAGTGTATTCAGCCAAGCGGGACAGAGCCAGCCAGCGCCTGCTCAGCAGGGCATGTACAACAACATGAGCATCACTGTCTCCATGGCGGGAGGAAACACCAATGTCCAGAACATGAACCCCATGGCTGGACAGATGCAGATGAACTCGCTGCAGATGCCTGGGATGAACTCCATGTGCTCAGAGCAGGTCAGTTCCATGTCATCCCTGCCCCTGGGATGCTCACTCAGCTCACAGGGATTTAGCATTCAGTCCTTTGGCCCTGGGGTTACCAGTGTCCAAAAGAAAAACACCAAAGGTCTGCCTGTCTCCACTGGCATTGCCACTGTGCTGGAGCCTAAGACCACTAGTGTGTCCCCTGTGTCCTCAAGGAATGTAGGGCTGTGCTGAGCATCTCCCACACCTGTAGTGGGCTAGCAGCGGGTGCATTTGTAGTCATGCATCCTTGGGGAGCTGTGAAAACTGGGAATGAGAAATGGTTGGATACAGGACCTTTTGCGAGATCCTCCCCAGGCCAGACTGAGATGCCTCCAACTATTTTAGCTGCTGGGGTTTGTCTTGGCATCATTAAACTCCTGGCCTACTGGTTTTATGCTGGACATTGCGGGCTCCAGCTTGCAGTCTCCCTGGGGAGAAGCCAAAGGGCTTAGCAAGGAAGGGGACTGGTCCCTCCCATAAGCTGGCCACAGTGTACAGGCTGAGCTGCAGGCATTTGCCCCTCTTGTCAAGCGTTTGGGTGGCATTTCACAGTCCCTGGGGGTGAGATGCCCCTGGAGCCAGCAGTGGCACCAGGCAGAGGTTCAGGAGGTGGGGAGAAGGGTGAAACAGGTCCACTGGTATCCCCGCACTGATGCCCCAAAACTGTGCAGGTCACAGTGCAGGGAGGATGCTGGCAGCACAGTCCCCTGGCACTGCCCCATTCTGAGCATCCCTTCCCCAAATCCCCCTAAAACTCAGCTCGAGAGGGCAGCTAGCGATCCTCCTGGCTGAGCCTGGATCTTGCTTTTGACAGGTAAATGACCCGGCGCTGAGACCCGCGGGCCTTTACTGCAACCAGCTTTCCTCCACTGACCTTTTGAAAACAGAAGCAGATGGGGCGCAGGTCAGTAAGAAACTGCTAAGCACATCTCAGGTACCCCAAGGAGTTTGACGGGTCACCAGCCATGCTGGCTCAGCACGCTTGGTTTCTGCTGGGGCTGGCCCCAGTTGAGTTGAAGCTACCATGGTCCCACCAGCATTGGGTGACAGCAGCCCTTGGGGATGCCAGTGCTGCTCACCAACTCTCTTTACATCAAAATTCACACTGTTGCCGTGAGCGCTTTCAGCCTCCTTGCTGGTGTGGAAGAGCAGTGACACCGCAGCTGAGCTGGAAAAACAACTGAGTGTTGGTGTTAAATGCCCCTCTCCCCGGCTCCCAGCTGACAGCAAGGAGGGATAGTTTCTTTCCTAGGCTCGGCCATCACTGGAGCAGCTGCTGGTGCCTGCGCCACCGGGGTGCAGTCAGGCCACCACGTTAAAAGAGTGGTGGAGTGAGGGAATTTGGGTCGGGGAGGCTCTGGGGGCTGCATCCACCCCTGCAGGCAGCACTGCCGGATGCTGCCCATCCCTCTGAGCACTACCAAAGTATGCCCAGCCACCCATCAGCACTGATGCCTCCAGCTCCTGGGGACGATCTGGTTCCATCCCCATCTCTTCCAACATCCACCAGTGTCCCGGCGTTGCCTCTCCCTTCCCAGCTGCTCAGCTGTAGGGACACACCGGCAGCGCCACTGAGACACACCAAAGCTCTTAATTTCGATCAAACAGCCGCGCTGGACCTCGCTCACCACCACTACCACCCCACGTCGTGGCACGACCACTGGCACACCGCCATACTGCGGCTCCCCTCCATCTAGGGGATGCCAGGCTGGGCTGGTTTTTTGGGGGTGTTTTTTCCCCCAAAATCCCATTTTTTTCCCTTTTTTTTTTTTTTTTTTTTGGATGAGCAACGTTATGAACCTCGCAGAGCCGAATGAGTTGCAGCGGTTTTCTTTTTATAGGACAAGAAGACAGAAGAGTTCTTCTCTGGGGTGGCTCCAGACTAGAGGAAGTCTCTAGTGAGTTTCCACTTCACGTAGTACCCAGATCCACCGCCGCCGGCCCCTGCCCCGGCCCCGCTAAGTCCTCTCTTCTCTTTTGTGTCCCAGCAGGTACAACAGGTTCAGGTCTTTGCCGACGTACAGTGTACAGTGAATCTGGTAGGAGATCCCTACCTCAACCCGCCGGCTTCCTTGGGCACCCCGAAGAACGCCGCCGGGCCGCCGCCGCCACCGGGCCAGCAGAAGAGCCTTCTTCAGCAGCTACTGACTGAATAACCGCTTTTCGAGGAATGTGAAATTTAAATAAGAAGACGTACAGAGATATATAAATATATATATTATATATTTTTCTGAGATTTTTGATATCTCAACCCACAGCCATTCTTCAGCTCGTAGTGTTTGGAGCAAAAAGGAGGGGGGGGGGTGTTTTATTGAGGGGGGTGGGGGGCTTCCCCTTGATCTTTTTTTTTTCTTTTTCTTCCCCTTTCCTCCCCTTTTTTCCTTCCTCTTCCCTTTTTCCTCTCCCTTCTTCCCTTTTTGCCCCCCCTTCCACTTTTCCCCCTCTTCCCCTTTTCCCCCTCCTTCCTCTTTCTCCCTCCCTTCTATTTTCCCCTTTTTCCCCTATAAATTCCTGCCCTTCCCCCCCCCCCCTTTTATTTTCTCTTTTTATTTTACAAAGCGTTGGATGTGGGCGAAGTGACGAGGCGGGACGGTCGGTTACTCGAGCCAAAATTACAGATGATTCTTATTTTTGTAATCATTTTGCTGGCTTCTTAATCCGGAGGAAGGTTTCTCGGGGAGGCGGGGAGGGGGAGAAGGCAGCTGGAGGACTGCGGCGGCGGCAGGAGGAGGAGGAGGAGGAAGAGCAATCTCAGTTTCAGCTGGATCTGTCACTGATCACGTCTCGGCGCGGGGCACGGAAGGGGATCGGCGCTGGACTTGTGCGGGGAAAAGTCGTTTTTGTTATTCACGCTTCAAACAAAAGCCCTTCTCTCCCCTCTGCCCCAGCCCGCTTGTGCGTACAATCAGCTTTTTCTAGCAATCGTGAGTTTGTCGGTTTTAAAGAAAAAAAAACAGAAAACCAAACAAAAAAACAAAACCCAGAGTATTTTGACCCACCATTTTTTCCATGTTTTATGCTGGTTTCAGGCCTCCAAGCGAAAGGGGGGGGGGAGGGGGGTTACAACTTGTATATTGCAACAGGAGGAGGAAAAAAAACAACAAAAGACAAAAAAAAAAAAGGACAAGAACAGAACAGTTTGGGGAGAAAACTGCAATAATTTTTAGGGGGAAGGATGGGGGGAGGGGTCTGTCAATTATTGTAGATAAAATTTTCTGATTAAATATGAAATAAAATTAAGCAGTCGGTTGTTTCTGCTTTGATTGTGTTTAACAGCTGAGGTAGCTTAAACTATTTAAAATAATAATAATAAAATAATAATAATAATTGAATTCTCTGCTGGGAGACAGCTTATTTTTTTTCCCCCTCAAGCCTGTCACTGTAAATAGCTCTGAGCTCTGTATAAATTTGGTTTCTTCTCTTTTAATCCGGGTTGCTTTTAATATTTACTGCTGAGTTTTATTGGAGGGTGGCTGTGGAGGGGCTTTTTCCCCCAGTCCCCTCTAAAATCGCGCTGGTGTGTGGAAAAATGTGTGGCTTTATCGATTGACATTTGCAAGAGTTAAAAGAAAAGAAACAAAACAAAGAACCCGAGTTTCCAGCGAACGTTTTGGTGTTTCTGTGCTGGTGGGGATGCCGGAGCAGTGCCGATGGTGTTGGCAGCGGGGGGGGGGAGTCACCCCGTCCTCACACTCTCACAGTGGGAACTCCTCTGTCACTACGGTTCATGGCACTGGGAAGCTGGAAATCAGTGACTGCACAGAGTTTTGGGGGCCTCTTAAATCCCAAAGCGCTGTAGAGAAAATATATACATGGCATGCGTGTGGTTAGTCCTGCCAGCGCACACCCTCCAGCCCTGAGTTCAAGGCGGTGAGGAGCTGCTCCACATTCATCTTTAGTGGTGGAAAAAGGGGAAATTGGGGGTTACAAATGACATTAACAGCACGCCCAGGACGGAGAGAGTTGGGGCACACGTGTTTCTAGCTGACAACGCAGTTTTTGTGTTAACCAAGCCGCTCGTTGCAAACGTTTTTACTGTAGGGGCAGCGCGGGGTGTGCAGCGAGTCCCGGCTCGGCGGGCGCTGCCGCCCTCTGCTGCTCGCACGGCTCCTGGCAGCGGTTCATTGAGAATTGAACCATGGATAAACCGGCCCCTCTGGTGCGAGCGAGGAAGAGGGTATGCGGCATGGAGCCAGAGCCATGGAGGTGGGAGGCACCGGGAACACTGCCCAGAATCCCTGGGGAGGACCGGGACACTGTGTCTGCAGCTTGTGGAGCACGGGCACAGGGAAAGCAGCCGTGAGGATCATAGAATGTTTTGGGTTGGAAAAGACCTTAAGATCATTCAGTTCCAATGCCCCTGCCATGGGCAGGGACACCTCACACTAAACCATGCCACCTAAGGCTCTGTCCAACCTGGCCTTGAACACTGCCAGCGATGGGACATTTACCACTTCTTTAGGCAACAGGGAAGCATAAAGGGCTGCTTAACGGAAAGCCCAGCCCTAAAAAGCAGCAGAGAGATTTTCAAATGCAGCTGGACCTAAAAACTGAACCTGCTCACACTGCAGGGTGGAGATGTAAAAGCACACTGATGGCTCACAGCAAGTTAATATAACACAGTCACATTCTGCACAGAATAACATTTAATCCTCCCCACCAAAGAGGTGTTTCACACTGTAAATGCTATCACCATGCAAGATGACTACCTGCTGCTGAGCATTAGCACTCCTGAGGCACAGCAGCTTTCCTCCCAACTCCCACCCGGGAGTGAGCTCGGCTTTGGCCCAGGAGAGCTGCCAGTGCCCGGTCACTTCAATAGCTTAAATTTTTTCAGGTGCTGGTGCACTTGGTCCTTTGGATAGGGCCTGAGCGCCAGGCAGGTGGCCGTGTTCTCAGGCTGCTCAGTCCACACTTCATGGTCAATGCTGTGCTGCTTCAGGGTCTCCGCCAGTGCCGTCAGGGCAGCCTCATCCGGAGCCTGGGGAGAGACAAAGTGTGCTGTGAGAGACCCAGAGCCTGGGGCGGGACGGTGTGCGCAAGGGCTGGGGTGGGAGCCACGGGGAAGAGGCAAACCAAGGGAGGTTGTGCTGAGGCCAGGCCAGGAAGGCAGCCAGCTGCCTGCATACAGTTAATATAGCCAATCCCCATACTTTATCTCTTACCCCAGAAGCATGTTGCTCTGGCAGATCCTGGCTGCACTGCAGCCTCTGCAAACACTGGAGTAGGAAAGAGGGGTTGTGCGCCAGCACAGGTTGTAAGCCCTCAAACCCGCAGGTTCTTCCCTGGCAGGCTGGCCTGGCTCAGCAAACAACTGCACAACCCTACACCCACACCGGGCTTGCTCCCGTCACCACCCCGCCTCGCCCTCACGCAGGGGCTGCCGCGCGGCCCCGAAGGGCATGAGGCCGCGGTTCATTCCCCGGGTGAGGCGGCAGGAAGGGAGGCCTGGGACCGCGAGGGCAGCCCGGGGTAAGGCGACTCAGAGCCGACCTCCCCCTTCCCGCTGGGCCCGGCTGAGGCCGCGGATGCCCACATGCCCACTGACCCACGGCCCCACTCCCACCCCCCAGCACTGCGCCGCCCCCCCTCCGCTTCGGCCGCCCCGCTGAGGCGGCGCTCCCAGCATGCCCCGCGGCTCCCGGCGTGCCCCACGCACCTCCAGCACGACAGTACGCATGGCGCCGCCCAGCTCCAGGTAGGCACGGGTGTCGGGGTGCTGGCGGTGTCTGTGCGCGGCTGCCAGAGCGGCGTGACAGCCCTGAGCCACCACCGCGCCCAGCGGCCACGACCGCGGCGGCCGGGCCAGATCCCCCCGCAATACCACATACTGCACCAGCGCCGCTGCTGCCGCTCCGGACGCCGCCATGCTGCCGTACGGCGCCGAACAGCCTACTGGGAGGCGGAGTGACGCTTGCGGAGAGGCAGCGCCGCCGCCGCCATTTTGTTGTACGGCGAACGGACGGGCGATCTGGTGACGCATTTCCGGCGGGGTGGAGGCGCGCAGTTCGAGCGCCAGTCGTTGCGGTGAGTGCGGGAGCTGCTGTGGGGCCGGGCCGGGAGGGGCACCCTCGGCTGGGGCACCCCGGGGCCCTGGTGCGGAGGTCCTCAGCTCCCCCTTTGTCCTTCAGTGGGGTCCCCGGTGGTCGCGGCCCAGTGGGGAGGGCCCCGGCGCTGTGGCGGCTCTCCCATGTCCCGCGAGTCGCGTCCGTTCCTGCCCGGCCGGGTGCAGGGTTCCTGAGGGGGCTGGTTTCAAGTAACGTGTTAACCTGTGTCGTTTCAGCCGGCGGGCAGTGGGCTGTACCTGCTAGACCGGCCCCCGGCGCTTCACGGGGGTCTCATTGCAGCAGCAGGAGGAAGGTTCCCTGAGGAAGAGCGCTTTCTGCATCCACATCACCACTTCGCAAGGGGTGGAGTGTGGCCAAGGAAGGCTGACGTCTGTCTTGTTGCTCGCAGGAGAGCAACAAGGGAAGATGGACAAAGGGAATATGAATGCATGGGATGGTGAGCTGTCTGGGGCAGGACATCCAATGCCAGGGCCTCACCACCCTTAGAGGGAAGAACTTCTTCCTAAGATCTCATCTCAGTCAGGTTAAAGCCTCTGTCAGGTTAAAGCCATTCCCTCTTGTCCTGTCCCTACAGGCCCTTGTCAAAAGCCCCTCTCCAGCTTTCTTGTCAGCCCCTTTAGGCACTGGAAGCTGCTCTAAGTTCTCCCTGGAGCCTTCTCTTCTCCAGGCTGAGCAAGCCCAGCTCTCTCAGCCTGTCTCCATAGCAGAGGTGCTCCAGCCCTTGGAGCATCTTCCAGGCCTCCTCTGCACTCGTTCCAACAGCTCCACATCCTTCACACTGGGGCTGCAGAGCTGGGATGCAGGACTGCAGGGCGGTGTCTCACCAGAGCAGAGCAGGGGAGAATCCCCTCCCTCAACCTGCTGGTCACGGTGTTGGTGATGCAGCCCAGGACACGGTTGGTTTCTGGGCTCAAGCACACACTGCTGGGTCATGGAGAGCTTCTCGTTGACCAACAGCCCCACGTCCTTCTCCCCAGGGCTGCTCTCAATCCAGTCTCCGCCAGCCTGTGTTTGTGCTTGGGACTGCCCTGAGCCATGTGCAGGACCTTGCCCTTGACCTTGTTGAGCTGTAAAAGGTTTGCACTATCCCGCCTCTTCAGCCTGTCCAGGTCTCTCTGTATCTCATCCGCTCCCTCCAGCATGTCCACTGCATCACACAGCTCAGTCCCAACACCAAGCCCTGAGAAATGCCACTGGCTTTCACTTTGACATCAGGCCATTGACCACAACTCTGCCATCCCAGATTCCCCAAAGCCTTTTCACCAAATGTTTGCCAGCCCTCTCTCTTTCTGAACAGTTATTGTATGTACTTTATGAACCTGCACTGGACCTACTTTGTTTTGGATTCCATAGTGCAGACCACTGTTAATCCTAGCCTGGAATTTTGAGCTTGTTGTGCTTTTCCTTACAGGAGTGCTTGCTCACCTGGAAATGCTGGAAGCGCGGGTTCATGAGGCAGCCATGAAGCAACATGAAAAGGAGCTGCAAGAAGAGAAGCTCACCAGGCTGAAAGCAAGAGTGAAGGAGCTGAGACTCCAGAGGGATGAGCTGCGGGCTAAAGTGGCTCTGCAGGAAAAGAAGGTGATAAAGGGCTCACTGCAGAGATCTGGTGGAGGGCTCTGGTTTGTTCCTGCTCTCAGGGGGTGTGTTCACTGAGGTTACTTATATAGACTCATCATTTTTTTATTTTCCCTTTTTAAGTGACACACAGTCCTGGTGTCCCCTGTTTTCAGTGCCGTGTAGTCCAGAACTCTTGTGTCTACTTGCTTGCAGGTTGTGGGGCTGTTTCTGAAGTCAAGAAAGAGCTCTTCCCTCCTCTTCTGTTTCATTTCTCCCCTTTTCTGCTTGAAATGCTGTCTTGCTTTTCTCAGAGCCAGGTTGTTACTTCTCTGTATCCTGTTCCCTGCAGGTGACACGTTTGTGTCAGTGATTTCTGATCTCTTTTTCTATTCTGGCATTTGTAGCAACTTGACAAAGAAGGAGCCACATCAGATCCAGCACAGGCCAGTCCTAAGACTGTTTTACAGTGGAAGATAAAAAGCCTTCAGGCCATGCTGCAGGTCTTTTACCTCACAGGTAACACCCTGAGATCTGTGTGTGTTCTGCCAATGGCTGCATTTCTGGGGTGCTAAATTTTGGAAACAGAGCCTGATGGGAAGTGTAACTGCCCTGGGAACACTGCTGCTCTTGTGCTTGAAGCCTTCAGAGTCTGAAACCATTGGAAGAGCAGTAGCTTTGTAGTTTCCTGCCTTTCACAGGAGGCCTCTGGGATGTTGCAGGAACTGTTATTTACTGAACCACATCATTTAGACTAAGACCTGGATCCTGGAAAATGTGTAACTGCCTTAGGAATGAAATCTTTGAGAATTATGGAGTTTAAGTATCCAGTACTCTGGGTCTTCCAAGCAAGCCTGTGAGGTCAGCACCCTCTTTTTATCTGCTTCTGGGCTTTTAAAAATACTGGTTTCCAAAAAGAGTCACCTTTGTTCTGGACAGTGTGAGGATGTGAGTCCTGCTTGATGCAAGGGGGCTGAGCCCCACCATGAGTACTCCTGTTGTTCTCCTTGAGGCAGCCAGGCACTGCCTTCCTCACACAGCACACACTGCTCTCCCTATCATGTTGGAGCCAGGACTGTGTTTGGAATTGGCAGCATAACTTGGTTATTGGGAATTTAAGCTACCATTAAGCTGCTTGAATATATTAGAGGTCCCTTATTTACAAAGTTGCTGTGTTTTATGTCTTTAAACTCTTGCAAGTCCTCCTAGGATGCTCCCTGAGCAAGCCTAGGAAAAGGACCCAGCACCTCATACAGCCTTTGTTGCTTCAACAAAGATGTCCTGTGGTGATGAGTTAAAGCACTGCTCAGTAAAGCCCTCTCTCTCTGGACCCAAGGGATCAGTGGGAAGCTGACCAGGCAGGGAGTGTGCTTCTGCATCAGCACAGCTTACGAGGGCACCTACTTGGATTCTTACTCCCTGGACCTGCTCACAGAGCCAGAAGTGCAGATTTACCACCACTCTGTCCCCTCCTTCATCCCCCTGGAGCAGATCGCCAAGCAGTACTTGCAGACAGACATCAGGCGCTTCTTATCCGTCTTGTCCGACCACCTGAATGCTTATGTTGGGAGGAGGTACCAAGCAGACCAGTTACAGGTACCAGTGGCTGCAGCAATACTCTTCACCCATCCTTTTCCCTGTAGTATACCAAGTGTTAGGAGTCTGAAGTGCTGGGGGGGGATCTTGACAGTTTTCTTTATGTGAAGCACTGATGGTTCTGGTTTTCAGAACTTTGCTAAGTTACCTCATGTCTGTAAACTCAGTTCCATCTACTGTCACGTACTTGGGTGTTGTCTGGTCGGTCAGTTAACATTTACTGCCAAGCTCCTGAGGCCCCTAAGCAGAAATAGCTGTGATCTTGTAAAAAGCTGCTGGAGGGCATGGCTTAGGGGCTTATTAAACTCTTAAGAACACTGGTTTATTTAAGTCTTTTCCATGCAAAGACTGCTCAAAGGGCATGCCAGGCTGGTGCTTGGGGCAAAATCCCAGCCCTGTGCTGATGGACTTCCTTCCTAGCTTCACATTTCAGAAGTTGTCTTTGTCCCTTCAGGAACACTTTTCAGACCAGATAAAAGGAACCTTGCGGAGAAACTCCTTGTGTAACTTGCTGGTCTTTAATTACAACGTGTCAAGTAAAAGCAAGACATTTCCATTCAACGTGAGGCTGGTTTATGGTGATCTCTGTCGCAGCCTCCCCACTGAAGTCATCGTTTCCTGCGCACGTAAGCAGACCCTGCAGGGGTCTGTCTGGGGGAGATGGGGTGGGCAGAGCGTACTGTGGTTCTGCAGATGAGTGGGGGTTCTTTCTTGTTGAGTTTAAGGACAAAAGGGAGCAAGCTGTCATATTTCTGAGGAAGAAAAGATTATAGAAGGAATTGTGTGTAATCAGTGCTGGGTTTTGAAGCAGTTGTAATTCATCCCTAGCACAGATCTCTTGCAACACTGGCAAGATGGGATGGCTGGAGGGAGGGAAATACAATGGGGGTGAGAAGGAAAAGTTTGAGTGCAAGCTTGGATTGCTTCAGATGGACAGGCTGCTCATTCCTGGTTTTCACTTACTCAAAGTGCAGCCTGGTATGGTCCCAGCTGGATCAGGACACTGTTTCCACGAGTCCCACAGGTAGAGGCCAGCCTGTACTAGTGTGCTCTGTGCACGTGGGAGAGTCTGGCAAGCAAATCTAGCCAGAAATTTGGAAGCTGTCAAGTCTTAATCATAGAATGGTTTGGACCATTCAATGACAAGCCTAGCTCCCTCAGCTTCTCCTCCTCTGTAGAAGTGCTTCAGGCCTTGGAGCATCCTTGTGGCCTCCTGCGGACTAAATCCAATGAGTGTCTTCTGAGATAAGAGAGCAGTGAGGTGGGCCAGGCTCCTGCATTGCTGTCCTCACTCTTTGGCAGTGGGTGTTTCTTAAGGCACTTGCTTTCCGCAGCCGTCAAATCCCGTGGGGGAGCTGCAGCATTCTGAAGGATCGGGAAGGAGGGTGAAGGGTTATGAGAACTAAAACTGTGTGGTGAGGGAGAGCAAGAGACTCCCTCAGAACAGGAGAAGAATGAGAAGTAAATAGTTTTCTGTTGGCAATGTGGTGTTCCTTTCCCCGCTGATCCATCCTTCTCCCTGCCAGCGGATGCTGCTGCAATTCTAACAGAGACTGCCACAGCTCACTCGGACCTGTTCCACCGCGTGCCCCTGCACAAAGCCTTCCGCTCCTTCAGCAGTGCAGGAGAAACCCTGGATGGGACACCC